ATAAATCCAAAAGGAGTTAGTGTTTTTACAATCGAGCAGACGATACATCCTCTACACTTATTCTCCACGACTGAACCGCAAACAACGACATCTTTGCATATCCGCCACCACTGTACAACAAACTACGATATTCTTTCTATTCGCTAGAAATACATTTCCCGTAACATATTCCAACTCAACGACCTATCAATTAGCTGACTGTCAAATTATTATCGAAGGCAACGACAAGGAATTTGTTAGTTGATCATATTACTTGCTTATTGTATAACTCATCACTGCCTACTAATTTATCGTGTAATATATGTATACTTTTTATACCTTTTTTTGTTGTTAACTAGTAATATTGTGCGAGAACAATGTCACATCCCGAATAAATAGAAACGAGTTCAACAGATTAGCTTCCCGACAACACGTACGTCAGATGTTCATATGTCACATACACTATGTTGCATGAACGTTACGCGCGTTGCACACACATCGCCCACATGTACGCCACGAACACGTATATCACACCATGTACGCAAATATCATAACAAATATGTCATACACATGTGCCACATCATATACATCACGAACACGTAATTTTATTCCATATCAGTAATTCTCGAATCCTCGTAAATTTAAGCAATAAAATCACAAAAATGCCACAGGTATTCTTTAAACAGCTGTTCTATGCAATCTGCAAATGTTCTCATGAAATGAATGCATTGAGAAGTTGCGATATGATTATGTTCAAAGTATGAGATAAATGGAATAAAATTAAATTCAGAAAGGATTATTGAATTGCAGATTTGGGTCGAAACTGTTGCCTGCATGATTTGAAGACAATCAGACGACGAATTGTCAATCGTGTCGACGTCGAGTGATGAAACTCAATCAGTGTGAAAGTGTGAATGTTAAGTAACGCATAAAGTTCATGAGAAGTTTTGACTGAATAAAGGATAAATTATTGTCTATCACTCAAACTTCCTATTTCATCAATCCAAAGAATAGTTATGCTTTATGATATGATAAGATGTACAACAGTGCGTGACTTGACAGAACATAATTGGCTAACTTGTCATAGTTAGATGATTGTCTACCTCATTATTTCCCCACAAATCATTATTTTACTAAATGAATCATCAACAAGATAATTTTAGTCACTCATTTCGAACTCTTTGATTATAGAAATGAAATAACTGCAACGAAATCTCTGTTAAAATCCAGCTGACAAATACAAGCCACTTATCCAATTTTTTTTTTTCAAAATCCTAAAATGAGAATTGTTCTTCGAATTTTTCATTCTTGGAGCTATCAGTTGCACATTCAGTTAAAACTTTTGGTCAATTAATAATTTTATTGGAATCAATTATTCTCTAATAAAATATCCATCCTTTTCCCAGATTAATTAAGCCGGAAGCAAAATTTCAAGATTTCGTACGATATTCGAACATTTCATAAATCACCATAAAACAAACGATTCTCACTGACTTCTTCAAGCGATTAGCAGCTGAATCATCCGTCTCCGATGATAACATTTTAAAGGTGGGTCTTTCGTTGTCCTTACATACATTACATATCCAAGGAAGTTATCTCGCTGTCAATTGACAAAACGACCAAATTGTTCTAATTAATTAGTATCCTAGAGGAAACATTTCCAGTCCATACATCTCATCTCACTAGTCTCAATCCTTCTGCTTTTCATTAGTGGAGCCAATTATATGTAAGCGCTGATATGATATGAAAATGTTATCATACTGATCACGACATGGCCAAAGCAATATCCCTCCACACTATATGACATCTCATTGCGTAATGACGAAATTGTTCTGACAGAATTTAACAATTTCATTTCGAGTTTCGCATGGCCGTAAACTGTTTACTGCAGAAGTATTGAGGTTATTAGGATATGTGGGGGGGTTTTGATCATGGGTGGTTGGAAGCGGTCTAATTGTCGGGGAATGTATGTGAGTCTTTTTCAGGTTAGAAGACAACAAATACGTAAGAGGAGATGGCTGTGAAGAAGCAGGTATGAGTATTTTATGCCAGTTTCACCCCATACAATATATTCGTCTTCCTCCAAAAAGACTAATAAAAGAATGAAGCTGGTGGACTCTGAACTGATAGTCATCACCACTGATAAGAGGGAAGCATTTGTAAAACTGTCAGTTATCATCCCTTAACACTGAGGTGGGTAAATGGTTTGGCTACATAATAACTTTAATCACTCAACCTCTCAGATTTCATTCTTGTTTCCCCCATCGGCTCGCTTTTTCTCTAAATAATTCATTTGCATTTGGAAAGTTGCAGAAAAAGTCGACGGAAAACATCAATGCGCGACTTGCCATGGTGATGAAAAGTGGAAAGTATTGCTTAGGATATAAACAAACGTTGAAAACACTACGGGCCGGTAAGGCCAAATTGGTTATTATCGCCAATAATACGCCACCTCTCAGGTTTGCTATACATATACTTAAATTTCTTTTCAACTGTAGGGACTTTATTCGTGATGATTCCAACATGATGGAGGAGAAAAAAACTACTTTTACATGTGATTAGGAGTGGTAGTTCATATGATTTTGACTTCGATGGGTGGCTCATTCTGAATGGAATATGCGATAATATATGTAACTGAGTAAAGCAATTGAATTCTGAATAGTGCTTTCGACATTATCCATATGCTCAGAAATTCCATTTCAATGAATTTTTCCATCAGTGTTTTTATGGGTTTGCGAATTTGCTTCTTCTGCTGTCTAATCTTGATTTTTAGTGTCCATATTGATTCTGTGGAGATAGTCAGTGGTGTGATCGAGAAACATTACACATCCTAGTCAAGTGTAAATGAGATTAACAACGCTGCATTCGAAGAATAACAGACAAATAAAATTTAGTTGATTTCAGGAAAAGTGAAATTGAATATTATGCGATGTTGGCGAAGACAGGCGTTCATCATTACAACGGTAACAATATCGAATTAGGTACGGCATGTGGAAAATTGTTTCGTGTTTGCACATTATCAATTACAGATGCTGGAGATTCAGATATTATTCGAAGTATGCCGTCTGAAAGTGCTTAAATTTAACTTTGTTCCTTCACTGGTATATTGAAAGAGTCGTAAATAAACCTTACTTTGTTGCTTGGTGTTTCAAATAAAGTTCAAATAGTTTAATACTTCCCACATCGGAATGTGTAGGTCTTTTTAACTTTCAAAAATAGTGTTAAAGGAAGAAGAAGTGATTTCAAGCAGAAGTTTGTCTTTTTCTAATAGTTTTCGTGTTGTTATATCTGTAGTAGTCTCAAGAGGTCATTTTATTTATTACTAGTCTTGGATTGGAATTGGAATGAGTGATGACAATTTGATCAAATTTTCCTGATTTTATGCTTTTGTCGCATTATGTCGCTATGTATTATTTTACACTGGTGGGATTTTGTTGGATAGATATCTGGGGGAGAGAATGTTTATTCTTTCATTTGTCTCGTGTCACTGTATAAAGGTGTGTTGAAGATGTAACGGACAAGTCGAAGTTGGTTAATATTACTTTTTTCTTGCATACAATCAGGTCAACACTACGAGTCGTCAGTATATGTGTCGGTTGCTTTTTATGTCTCAGCAGAAGTTATACCGTGAGCAAGAAAACGAGCATGAGTTGGGACTGTTTTGTCAAGTTGTTAAAGGTTTCATGCATATTTGTCATCAAAAATTCAAGTTGATTGTAATTGGGTCTGTCTGAAAACACTGGGGATGTGGCATTTCGTAGTAGGCGGAGGGTCGGGACCAATGTCGCGGTCTTTGTGGTGTTCGTGTGGGCGTGTTGCGATTATTGATTCTAAACGGGATTGTGTTTCAAGTTTGGTCTGGTACTGTCAGGGCAACATTAATTCCATGAACGCTACGTTTTTCCATCTTTATCAACTGTTTTATAAAAGGAATTTCCACTATTCATATGTGTCGTGATCCAGATATTCTGCGGTGTAATGGTTTTCAATCTTCACTTGACGAAGGGTCACGAATGAGTAGTGAAAATCTCCTTTAGGATAAACTTCAGTTAAAAGGGATAAATTTCAGTTGAAACTTTAAATGTATTAGTTTATCGAATATTGATAAGGATCTCTTCTGCCCTCTTCTGTTTTTAATTCACTGCGCTGTTGCCCTCCCGAACGTACTTTAGTTCTCGTTGATCACGATTGGGAACCACTGTTCTAGATGTCGATTTTGTGGTATTATGCGTAGACTGAAAATTATAGTTTCTGATATCTTAAAACATGTATCGTGATACCCAATTACTAATTTGCATGTCGTTTTCGGATCTCTATTAATATTTCAGTAATAAGATTGGGCCATTCTCTTTTTCACCGCGTAAAGTAACATAAAATATCGGGATCTTTTGAAATTCAGAACTCTTTTGTTTTTGAATAGTTCCCATACTGTAAGATTAACAGCACAGCTAGAAACTAAACACGAATCAAGTTGAGTGAGAGGTCAGAACATTGATCTTTGGTATTGCGGTTTGAGCAGTTAAAATAATCCATATGAAGCGATAAGGGTCAACATTTTTATTTACTCATCTCATCATTTTCGAATGATAGTGACAAGGTAGAGGTGCGTTATTTGTTCTTGCTTGTAGTTGCAAGTTCTTTCGTTACTTCAGGTGCAAAGTAATGCAAATAGCTATCAGAAAGCGTAGAACTGAAGATGAGTACAGGACATGGTTTTGATCATCTCACTACTATAGCAAAAGTCCCATTTATTATCGGTGTTGCTGGCGGGACAGCTTCAGGAAAGGTTATTATTTTATATACTGCTACTTCAGTGCAGGATAATGTCTCTTAATTGCCATTTTTTATTGTGCTATCGGATCCTTTCTTTATCGTGTAATGTTATGCTTATTTGTTATGCTTATTATCTTTTTTCTAAACTTGATAAGACAAAATCTAAGCTTTGCAGTAATAAAGAACCATTTCATATCGCAAGGTTCAATTTAGTTAAAATGAAAATTTTTTTTCTAAACTCAAAATTTTCAAAAATTTTTAAAATTTTCTTAATTTTTCAAAATGAAAGAGGCGCTCATCAAAACGGCAGTAAATCCGGAAAAACTGCAGTGCGTGGATGTCACATAATTATCAATGGTTTTATTGTTTATCCAGTTTTATTTCTTTAATCTGGGAGCGATAATTCGTGATGTTTAGTCATCAGTATGTTCTCGAATAATGGAGAAGCTCGGGAAAGCTAATGAACGACGAGTGGTGACCATATCACAAGATTCATTCTACCGCAACTTAACAGATGAAGAGACCAGAAAAGCTAACCGTGGAGAATTCAATTTCGATCATCCAGGTTTTGTATCTATGTTCGTTAGCAGTTTCTTTTGCACAGGAGAAATTTCCAAGTGTTTCATTGTCGAAAAATAAGATTTCTGTCTCCTTGCTAAATGATGTTTTCAATTTTCAAGTAGTTTCAGATGCTATTGAATATACGCTGATGATATCGATTCTTCACAAAATGAAGAAAGGTGAAAGTGTTGTCGTTCCAAAATATGACTTTTGTACCAATTCAAGGTTAAGCTTCCACATTTTCACTTTTTGCTGTTAATTTCATGCAATCTAACCTTTTGCAGGAAAAGGTGCTTAATATTTAAACTGACATATGATATTGGTGGAGAAATTATTTTTCTCAAATTTTTATAATATTTGAGAAAAAATTTCGCTTTAACAGACAGACCGCTCGTTTCACTTGTTCCTCAATAGCATCCCATAGGATTTTCTTGGATTAATTTTTTTTTGGAGTCGATAACGCTTATTGAAATTTACAGGTCGAAGGATTCTGATGTGATTGAATCAGCGGATGTTATAATTGTTGAAGGAATATTGATTCTGTATGATCAAGAATTACGAAATCTTTTTGATATGAAACTGTTTGTTGATGCTGACTCGGATGACCGTCTAGCTCGACGTATTCAGAGGGATATTCAGGAAAGGGGTCGCTCAGTGTCCCAAGTAAATAACTCAGAAAATTTTCATTTGCATTTGCTTTTTGCTGTTTAGTATGTTATAAAAATGAAGTGTTTTGCATGCGAAGTTGATAGAAATTTACACTGTAAATAGTCCTTAATTTCTGAACCTTTTTTTCTGCTTTCAGGTCCTCCATCAGTACCTGAATCTTGTGAAGCCAGCGTTTGAAGAATTTTGCTTACCGACGAAAAAGTATGCCGACGTTATTATACCACGTGGTGCTGATAACAACGTTGCCATCGATTTAATTTTACATCACATTCATGAAATTTTACGTTCACCGTCCTCCTTAGATGAGTCATCGTCGTATGAAACCTGCTGCATCGTTCATCGCGTTGCGTCTTTTAGCCGGTTACATTAATTCAACAGTTTTAGGTAGCCTTGTTCAAGAAATTAGAAGCAGTCATCGTTGTTATTGTCTTACAATGTTGTTTTTTCCTCACACTATACTGTTCCAGATTTGTTTTTACGTGGACATTAAAATACTTGTTTCTGTTATGAACATCTTTCTACATTTGTCATGGTTTTCCCTAACTAGTGAATCAGCATCAGTTGGTTATTGAAGTATTCCTTTAGATTTGATTTTTTTTTTAGATTTATTTTCTTCAAAATTTCCCAGTTTTTTTGCTAAAGTCATTTCTTTTTTCAAAGAAGAAAGTTTTTTTGCTTTACTGACTTGAAGTAGTGATTTTCCTTCATGCTATGCTGATTTTATTGACGTTACTTTGGAAACTCACAATAAATTTGTGTGATTTTGCTGTTTACGTTAGGAATCTTTACCATTGATTTGTCACTTGGTTATGTTGTGCAAAGTTTTTCCAATTTCTGTACTCAATTTCATGGAAATGTCAGTTCTGATAAAAGCCTTCTTGTAAAACGCGATGAGTATAGTATTATTGCAGTAAGGGATTATCAGATGCATTTTGCGTCTACCTGAAGATAAGGAAAAAGTAATGGTTCATTGGACTCGGGTTTTTCGGATTTGGATATATTTGTATACGGCAGGCAGTATTTGCAATGTCACCTTCTTCATCTGCCACTGGTAATGAACATTGTCGTGCATGTATGAGCGTTGAAGAGTTGATGGAACATGCTCGAAAACTAGCTGGGAAACTGTCCTCAGAGAACAATAAACAACAGTCGTCAACCACTCGAGCGTCCTCAGTTCGTGTTTTGTTTATTGCAGTATGAAAGAAATGAAATAAACGGTAGTCCTGAAGACCTTTTTTATTGCGAGTTATCTTGAAATAAACTATGACTTGAGGTGCACTGCCGTTTTTATAATCAGCTGTATTTACAAAACAATAATTGTGAAATGTTTACTAAAAATTCCAGGACTTATCAGGTGGTCTTTTCACTATGTCAGTGTCATTGCCACATAAGAATTGTTACAAAATATTTGGTTGGTTTCAGGGTTCAGTTAAAACAAAACCAATGAGGACGGATTGTCCTCTCACTACTGAAAAATTAGGGAATTCGACTTGGAATCTACTTCATACAATAGCAGCATATTATCCACTTAAGCCAACACTTGAACAGAAGAAGAATGTATGCACCCTAATGGATTTGTTAGGAAAGGTAGGTAATATTCGTTTTGTAGCCGTCGTAACATCATTTATCATTTAGGTGTACCCATGTATTTTCGAGTTAACGATCGGAAGTGCTTGAGGGATAACAACATAGAAACTCGTCATGTTTTCGATTAAACTACTGGATAATAAAGCAGTTTTTTTTATTTTACCTTTTTTTTACATCTAATTATAAAAACACCCTTTGTACTTCAATAACATTTAATGTTGCATTGAGATGATTAGAGCTACTAAAAATTGTTGGTTTTTTCTTTTTTTTTGCAATTACTTCGAAAATCTGTCAAGAATTGCCGGTAACGAAATAACAACCGATTCATCTTAGTTATAGTTTTCTATTATCAGTGTAGAAAGTTGTAAAAATTAAAATCTCTGAGAATGTCTTAACATCAGACTAGCTGATTCTACTGTAATGTTTACTGAGTGTTCGTATTTAATTAGTAGAATAGTAACAGAAGTTTTTGTATAGTTATGACTTCATGCACGAAAATATTAATGTGCTAAAAACTACAAATGCTAGTTATCGAGTTTAACGTAGTGTTTGTTACGTGGAATTACTTCCGCATTTTAATCATCTTTTCATCATTTTGTCACCTGTAAGTTTCATTAGTGCGCTGATGTTTAACCAGTATTTGGAAAAAATTTACAAAGTTTATTTTCATTATTTTTATAGATGTATCCATGCTCTCATTGTGCAGAAGATCTACGTCAAGATTTATTAAAATATCCTCCAGATGTCGAAGATCGTGAAAGATTTTCATTGTGGATGTGTGGATTGCATAATCGAGTTAACAAGAAACTTGGTAAATCCGAATATGATTGTGCTCAGTGGAAGGAACGATGGTTAAGTGGTTGGAAGGATGGCTCTTGTGACTATTAATTTTATAAGCTGAATTGATATTATATCGAGAAAGCCGTTTTGATTCATGGATTTTCAACCTTCTTGATTCATACAAAACAGAAACATGTAATATGAACTATTATTACTGATTGTTGTTCGGAAATTTCAATTAGAAATTTTGAATTTGAATGGAAAAGGTAGAAATATCCTTTCTATAGGAATTTATAAGCCGAATTAGTATTATTTCGAAAAAATTCTTTTGAAGGAATTGATGTTGACTTCCATATCTGTTACAATTTCTTTTGCTATTTCCATGTATATACATACCATCTTTTGAAGCGGCTTTATTTTACTGAGTAGTGCACATAAAGTTTTATTAATGGCCCCAGGTGATGGCATTTTTAACGGCAGTCATTTATCTGAATATTTAGTCTTTTAATTGGTAAATTTACTAATTTTTTAATTGCTTGGAGAGAAGCTTATTTGTTTGAATTTTCATTCAGCGGTTCGGTGAAACTTGGAAATGAGATGTTTTTGGCTTCTTCATTATTTTTGACTTTTTGCAAACGAAAAAGGACTTGTGGTTTTCTTTTCTGCCCCCTTCTCTTTTTCTTTCTTCCTCTCTCTGACCTTCTTGATTGCGATATGTTTTCTAAATTTGTACTAGTGTCATTTTGCTTGAAGTGAAGTTCTGCTATCACTTATTTCATGTTTTATTTCTGCAACTTTTATCAAGATATTGGGGACGAAGGAACGAATTACTGAATCTTCCAGTTTCACTCGAAATTTGATGGTATCGGCAGAAGACTGATATCCGTAGACATTAGTGTTGAATTATTAGCAATAAGCAGTCACTGAATTCACTGAAAGTCACCGAATTTATTGTGGGATCTGTCTTGTCAGAAGTGTATAGGATACGACATGCTGCACATTGAAGTAAGTGTTCCTTTTTTCCTTTAAAAAAAAAACCTGAGCCAAGGTCAAGTTTTGTTTTTAGTCGTTTTTATTTGTAAATAAATCAGCGGAACATATTATTCCGCATTGCAGCCCAGGTCAGACTGCAAAAAAGGTTCATAATGCTAGTCAACAATAACAGTTTTGCCGGAGCTATTATTTGCTCCTGGCTCAAATGATGCATGATTGACATGACGGAGCATCAATTTCCTAAGATGAAATTCACGACATCAATTTTATTCCAATATATTTGTTGATTAGATTCTAGTGAATGAAAGCCCCTTTCGTCGTGAGATAGCATCTTCAGCTAATTAAAACTAGTTTTAGCAGATGAGTTCTGCTCAATTTTTGTAGGATTGCTGCGCTATTGACAATCCTAAAGCTGCATTGGAAATCAGCTCTGAATCCGAAGATAGTGACAACTTGGCAGATGACGAAAAAACAGTTGAGAAGCAGAATAAAAATGCGAGAGATGCTGACAGTAATGTCGACTGTTTAAATGCTAATTTGGCTTCTGGAGATTCTATTTTTAGTTGTTCGGATACGAATTCATCTGAAGGTTTACAAATTTCTGGAACAAAGTAACCTTCGATGATGTGTGATCGTTATTTACGAAAATGTGAACTGGTTATGAGTTGGACTTCCACGTTGAGATTTAAATTAAGTGATTAAAATTGAAATCTTAATGAATTTAAAAAGCAAGGATAATGTTAATCTTGTGGTAGTATCAACTGACTCACTTGATCCTTCAAATCACTTGGTCTGCAGCTAACTGTGATAACGATTTCAGGTGTTCTGGAAATGGAGCAAGGAAATAGTGCAGTAGATAAAGGTTCACGGAGCGTTTTGAGAAATGTGGGACTTCCAAAATTCTTTCTTTTGGATGATAAGAGTAGTGGCGGTAATAACATGGATGTGGAATTGGAAAAATGGGCTGTTGCTCCGAGGATTTCAACAGGTTTTTCATGTAAACGTTTGCTTGTTTCCTTCTACCTTTTCCTTTCTTTTTTTTTTTTGAAAACATGCATAGATTGTTCTTCCAGATACAGTCTATACTTTGGCCGCACTTCCGAGCATTTCCTCTCCCCTTGTTTATTCTCTTACTTCCAATAAACTTTCTTCATTATGTGAAACCATTAGTTTGGAGGAGCATAGTTAATAATCGTAAGGTGAATATTGCACTTTAAATAATCGAAATTTCACGAGTATGCATTTTCCATAGTTCTTTTGCAGCGTTCATTATAATTTTGTGTTTATTTAGATGTCAGGGATAAGTCTATATATGCGTCAAAAAGAAAGAAAAATAGAGAAAAGATGAAACAGTTTCAAATGGAAATTTTTTTCGCATCGATTATTGAAATGCTTTGCGATGGGGAATTCGAGGGTTTGAATATTCATTTTCGGAAAGGTATAATTTTTGTTTATATCTATTTTTATGGCAGGCATGTATTCTATGTATTTGTTGTGGATAAATCATATTTTTCTTGATTTGTCAAACGATTTACTGAGCGCATTAGTTTTCCTCATTCCTTATTGTTCTATGCCATAAGTTTACCAACTTTGAAATACCAATGATTACTGTTGTAATCCTTAGTTAAATCTTATAGATCATTATTATCCGAAGGAGTCTTTTGAAAACACTTGGGGACTTATTTTGATCTTTTTCACACAATTGTCCCTAAAGATAAAGATACTGTCTTTTAGAGTACATTTTAAGATGAAATTGGACCAGTTGATTGTTTCAGTTTTGAGGCAGATTGCTGGACACTTTATCCACCCTTCATATCTTTCCGATGATTACGGAGCGTTTCGCATCGCAATTAGGAGAAGAATAACGGAAACTCTGAATGCTGCTACAAACCAGAAAATCGGAAATAGGTGCATTATTGTCGTCCCTATATAAAAAAAGTTTATCAAAGAAAAAAAAAAACTGGTTGCAGTTTAATGGTTAAATACGGTAATGTCGCTGTGATGAAGAAAGTTCTTTTTTATGCTAATTTTAAAAAGCGTTTATTTCACTTCAAGAAAATTTTCCTTTAAGTTTATTTAGAGGGGAAAGGAACTCAAATAATTTGGAGTTCGATTGCAGTTTAACCGTTGATGCTCCTGTAAAAAAGAATTATTTCTTATCTAGCCGATATAGCGTCGATTTCAAAGAAATCAGAAAGATTGGAAGTGGAGGCTTCGGAGAAGTTTTTCATGTAATGTTTGAAACTTCAGATTTCTGAAGTATTAGAAAATTCATGTGTTTATTTTATGAGAAAAATGAACTTGTGGGAAAAAGTGTAAAAATTTTGCTTTTTGAACCGATTTAAACAGTTGCACTTCTGTCATGTTATTTTGTTTGTATCAGTAAGGCTGATGTGAGATTTTTTAGCTTTCTGGCTATGAATTTTCGTTTCAGGTACATTCTAATATTGATGACTGCGATTACGCCGTTAAAAAAATTCAGTTTAACTTAACGATGTCTGAGCCGGTGACAAAGGTTAGTTGTGTATATTGTCTTACCAATTTCAGAAACTTTCGCTTTTTAACTATATCATTTTTTTGATATAATATACTATTTCGTTAATATAATTTGATTTTAATGGATTAGTTTCGAACAAGTATGAGTTGTTTTTATTTAGTTCTTAGGATTCATCAGATTCTAGATCGTCAATGAAGTTCGTTTGCTAGCAGTTGTTCAGCACAAAAATATCGTGCGATATTATGGTGCTTGGTTAGAGCTGCAAGACTTGCAGACACCATCATCCGGGGAGAATGATGAATATTGCAGTGACGAGTGAGTGAGATAATTCTTTTTTATATGTTTTAATTTTATATGTCTGGATACCATGTTACTTTCGAATTTTGTCCTTTTCAGTATGAGTATACTGAAATTTTATGATTTAAGATATAAAAAATAAGACATAAAATTAAGAGAGGGAATCGCTTGGAAGAATTCACCTGAGGAGAGAAGAAAAGGTATTTCATCTTCAACTAATGCTTGCTCGAAGTTTACTCAAATGGTATGCATCGCCTCCGAAAGAACTGAATTTTTTTTTCAAGAGTCCTTTTTGATTTAATCTTCTTGTATAAAATCGCTTTTTAATGCAAATCCATAAAAATTATCATGCTTATGTTGTTTTAACAAAGGCCTTTTCGCCTGATTTAGGATGAAAAGGATGATTCGGGAGAACAGTCTGGCACAGTTCATGAAAAACAAGGTCGTTTTTGGACGCAGGAACCTTCAACCACTTCTAGTTCAACGATTTCGGGAGGGTACAAGATGCGTCGAAGTATTTCTACCAATCACTGCTTGATGGTTGCAAGAGGGAGTGCGAGAAGTGATCCAGTAAATTTAATACTGCCTCATTCAGTAAGCGAATTTAAAATTTTTAAAGCTGAAGTCTTCTGCAACGATTGAATTTGTTTTTAGGGTACTGCAGTCATGTTCGTGCAGATGGAACTTTGCTCGCATACTCTTAGCGATTATTTTGCTGAGCGAAATGCCGGTATTTTTTATTTTTTATTTTTAGCTTCATTTTCCGAGGATTATCGTTAATATTTTGACTGCAGTATTAAAAAAAGCTGTAAAAGGTTCTTCTTTTAATATGCATCGTGAAATTAAATTTGTTGCAGAAATCAGGCCAAAAATAGATCGACAGCTGAATAGAAGCATTATGGAGCAACTAATGTCTGCAATGACTCACTTACATTCCAAAAAAATTATTCACCGAGATATCAAAGTTTGTCTTGCTCTTCTTTTTGGACTTTAGAAAATCAGGTGATTATTTTTCTTGTTTTAAATCATAATTTGAAAAAAAAAGCGACTATGTGTCGTGTTTTTCATCTGATTATTGGTTTTGTTTTAATTTTTATTTCTATTTTTTTTGTCTGAATTTTATTTGCTTATGTTGTAAAAAATAATTTTGACCAGGTGTGGTTTTGAGGCATCCGAAATAATTTTCAAACTATTTGCCTCATTTAGCTTACCACTCATGTGTGTTTTGCAACAACTAGTCTTAAATAATAAACTTTAGGATTTTTTTTTAACATTGTTTATTATTAATCTCGAAATTGTCATTTGTCTATTATCATTTTACGTAATTGACATTGACTTTTCATGCAAATTACGTAATTTTGTTATCTCAATGTGTATATTAGCAGGGAGCAATTTGAAATGTAATTTGATTCCTGTGGTCCTTAAATTTGTGTTGAAAAAGTTAAATATATGGTCCAACTGGTGAAACAGTGCTTGACTCACACTGCTCGATGGAGTCTGATCATACTTTAATTTTAAATTATTAAATTAGACACAATAATATCAATACTTATATTATGATATTATTTGGTTTCAGCCGAGCAATATTTTCCTTCGTAATGAGAGTTGTTCTCCAGTTCCATCCGTACTTTTGGGCGATTTTGGATTAGCATGTCTTCATCAAACAAACATTATTTATAAGACTACAGTTGCTGGAAATGAGACAACCACACATAGCGTGGGTGTTGGTACCTCTATTTACGCAGCACCTGAGCAGCAGAATTCTACTATTTACGATAATGCAGTGAGTGACTGTTATTATTCCTTTACATGGAATTTAGATAATTTGTTTGTATGGTTAGTAGTTCTAAGTATTACGACTTGATTTACATTGAAGATTAAAAGCCATGGAATTATTTGTAATTGCTTCACTGTTTAGTTCTGATTAATTCTGGAGTATCTTAATAATTTTAGATTTCAGTAACCCTAATAGCTTCCATAGTTTTTCATGCACTTAGATTATATCAAGAAAGAATATAGGAAACGAGATTTTTTTGAGTTGGAAGTATATTTTATCCATCTCAGGTAGATGTCTACAGTGCTGGGATTGTGTTTTTTGAACTATATGTTCCATTTGGTACACAAATGGAACGACTAGAAGCTATTGCGAAGTTGAAGGAAGGAAAATTAAGCGATGAATTCAAAACTTCTTTTCCCGACGAAGTTCGTCATTTGTTGGTTTTGCGATTGAAAAGAAATAATCTCAGTCTATCTCTCTGCCATTCATGTCATCAGTATTGTTTCCATTCAGGTTTTCCACTTTCATCAAACTCCATCATAGTGATCGGATTCTTTATTACATTTCCTGGCTTTCTTTACCAAGTCGATCCGACTCCTACTCTTCATTTTACAGTACAGATGGAATTGTCTGTATGACTGCGGAATAAAGTAAAAGCCTAAAAGTGTTCTCTATTATTATATTCACTATGTCAATCTCATTATGAGCATTACCAAATAGATGGGAAAAATAATCATTTTGTTAGTTTGTAATAAGTTGGTGATCTTATACGGAGTTTGTAATAAGTTGGTGATCTTATACTTATACGGAGAATCGATACGGATGTTCGTAGTGAAAAATGGTAACCAGAATTGAAAGCGTATAGCTTTGATTCGGCCTAAGTAGCTGTACTAGGTATATGTTCGGGAGTATGATGTCGAGAACATTGTATTGAAAGACCGTTCGATGCGAATGTTCTAGCTAATTAGAAAACTTACGAAGCTAATCAAGTCCACTAAACATTTCCCTGACTTCTAAACATATTGGTATTGTTATTTCTTACGATCGATACGTATCCTATGAGTTGGCATGTTGTACTAAGCTTGTTATTTTCTTTCGACCATCTCCGTCTTTCTTAATTTGTTCAACGGGCGTTATATCCATCCATGAAATGTACTGTAGCGTCAAAATATTGAGCGATTTCCAGGGTTGATGCACTCAACTTTTAGCTTACTGAGCGAGCAATGCTTTATGGGATTTCAAAGTATTGTTGTCGGTCTTCATTCTAGTTTTACGGTGAGGAGTCGAGGGTTTTGTGAAGAACAGGTTAATCAAAGGATTTCATTACTTTCCACACGCAGTGTACTTATGTTTTATTACTTTTATTATTGTATTGACTAACAATCATTGATCACTGTCATTGTTTCAGGCGAAGTTGATTAAGGAAATGTGTAAGGAGAATCCACAGGAACGAATTCATGCTTTTGACGTTGTTGCTAAGCTTGGTAAAATTGGAGAAAATGTAGAATCTCTCAAGCATCGTATCCAAGAGCTTGAAAAAGAAATTGTACGACTTAGGAACCTTTTACTGGACAATAATATTACAGGAATTTGAATATATCTAACACCACATTTAGTTGTTATCGCTCTTTGAAGATCTTACCACTCAAAGTTGTGTCGAATTTTACCTAAACTATATTCGGTCCTATTAATATAATTTTGCGAAAGACTGACCATTTATTTTTCTTGCCACAATAAATTAAGATAGAATAATTGATACATTGTTTACATATTTCTTATTTCATCATCAAACGACCTCGCATCATATCAACTAGGTAGCAAAGTTTTACTGTTGGGTAATCTTTTTAGTTTTTTTCTTTTGTTATTTCAAGAATTTGTTGCCTTTTTTCATTATATCATTCTTTTTGTTGGATCATTGTTACGTCGTTTAAGTATAGTTTTGTCTGAAAATATTGCAGTTCAACTCTAATACTGATCCTATCAATACGCGGTATTTAGATTATGTTTGCTTTTAATCAATTGTTCACACTCTAGTCCTAAAACAAAGTTCCGGGTAGCAGGAAAAAGAAAGCAAAAGAACTCAGTCATTTCTAAAATAGTATAGGGATTGTAAAAATTGTTTCCAAGGATTTTTTTCTAAGGGAGTTTGGTTTTCTCATCAATAATACCCATTTATCTTTTCCTTTGCTTATATGAGATTTTTAAAACTAAAAATAAGTTAATTTTTGGATTCCTTAATTAGTTGCGTGTAATCTCCCGGTTTTTCCACAAATAATTTGAATTTTCGTTTTTCGAAATTCACTGTTCGCAGTAGAAGAGACTTCGGTTTTCTTTTTTTTGACAAATATGAATAAAAATTGCTAGTGTCGTGGTGCACTTGTTGTGGGCATTATTTCGAATTCGATGGAATATTTTGTCATATTCTTCAGGAATTAGGAGCTTTCGGGACTTCCTTAAAGATCGTATTCCAATGCACTCAGTCTATAGCATCACCGGGGACGATGTTGTGTTGGATGGTCGAATGATTATAAAATAAATAAGTTATATGTAAGGAACATATGTAAATATATACTGGCGATATATGAAATGATTCTTTTCAGCATTCTTCATATAAATTTTTCGAACGAATCAGGATCGAAGTTTTGCCTCCCTGGGTTCCCCGCACCTCACTAATTTGAATATTCTTCTTTACGTGATGATGTCTTGCTCTCATCCATTCCTTCATTTGCCCATCTGTTGACATATTTTTCCAGAAAGGAAAGGGGAAAAAGATGGAGGGTAAAGGAATGGAAATTTTGACGAAACTGCTGACATTCTATGTCTGGTTTTCTTCTTTTTGTTTGTTCTTCCTTCATGCCATGATTGATTGCATCTTTTTTACACGTTTTAATTACCTAATAGTAGATGAGTTACCGTTATCAAGATCTGAGTGCAATTTTCTAATGGGCACACAATGTATAACTACGGTACTTATCATGCGTCATATGTCAGATCGTCCCCATCTTCGCATACTGTGGCATTTTGGGATTGCGATAATTACTAAATTGATATCCAAAGGATTTATATCGATTGTACTATAATATAGTTGGTATCGAATCAATTCAAATATTGTTCGACATACAAATTTTACTTATGGAAACTCGATAGAGGTCAAGAAAGCATAATTTCACATTATTTATTTATTTATTTCTTGATTTAAATATGGATGTCTTCCTTGATTATTGCCGTAAAGATGTGGATATCAGCAAAGATGCAGCTAGTGAATTATTGCTTGCAAAGCATATGGATTTCATCGAGCGTTATGTCAAAAACAAGGAATCTTATGTAAGTAATTCGCTTAGTGACTTACTTGCTTTTTAGATAGGTGCTACGGAGAATGTTTGCTAGTTGTTTCAGAATTTTATTCCTTTGTTTGACTTGTACTTTCTATGGTGCACGCTGTCTACTTATTTTGAAATTTCCTGTTGCTCCGAATCATATTAAGTTTGCAAGAAGTTCGGAATAAGATTAGTATCTCTAAATAATTACTTTTCATTAAATCATTATTACTATCTTGATATTAGAATCAACTGTGTAAAATTGATCTTTACATTATCTGAAAAGAAAGTTTAACAATTTTTCATTTTTTTCTCATAATAAAAATTTTGCAAGGGTCCAGCTGCTAGTAAGTGTTTCATCAAATTTTATTCTTTTAATTGTAGGAAAGTATCACTACAGAATATCTTCGAATGAGTGGTATCTATTGGTGCTTGCAAGCAATGGACATAATGGGCAAATTAGATAAAATGGATGTTAATGAGATTATTATTTACGTGAAGCAATGTCAGCAACCAAATGGTGGCTTTGCTCCTGCTGAACACCACGATGCCCACTTATTGCATACACTGAGTGCTGTACAAGTAAACTTGTGCTTTTATTTTCTAAATTGTTATAGAAACAAGCATTGTTGTTATAGATTATTTCGGTACTCAAATAGTGCAAATAGTAGCACACAAGCATATAACAATTGCACGCTTCATAAATGAGGTTTAGCTAACGTTGATTTCCCATTTGAATTTGAATTTTCACTCAAATGAACGCATATGAAGTATTCGAACATCCACAATAACACTGATTGGTATTCATAATTGTTAAAATTACATATGATGGCAAAAAGTTGTGGTTCATTTAAGGAAAAAAAACCAACGATAGCATGACCATTCCAATCGTAGTTTCATGAAAGTCATAAGAGTTAAGTCATTTTTCTAATGGTCAAATGCGCATAAATTTATTTATATCATTAAATGAACCGTATTGACTTCTGATGACCGGCTCTGACACATCTGTGACTTCTTTCTTTCCTTCTAAGGCTTGCTTTGATTCGCTGTCTGCCGCTTCATAATTCATAGTTTGCCACATGGAAATAAATATGCTAACGAAAGATTATGTTGCGGTGCTGGTCAAAAGAGAAGTGAAGAAGGTAAAGGTAGCATTGTGCAATGTAAATCAGTTCATCTCTGTGGCTTAGAAACTGATGATTGTATGCAATTATTAACGCATTTCCCTTGTGCTTTGTGCTTTCCTTGCCGCTTGCATACTAAAATATGTTGTCATCACTGGTCATCCAGATTCTTATCATAGCATTTTTATTAATCATTACTAACAGATTTTCTGTGCATTTTAAATTAACAATGATTTAAAGCATAAACCATATTACCCTTTTTTTTGTTTTTAGTGATGTTTTTGGAAATCTTGCATTTGGAAATAGAACCTGGAAATATAATAAACTGTGAATTCATATTTCGTACTATTGCTTTTTATGTTTTCCATTAAGTTTTTTTAACAGAACTAAAACTTGACTTTTAGGAGACAAATTAATTGTAAAAAATATCGGAAAGACAAATTAATTATAGAAAATATCAAAAAAAAAAAAAATAATAATAATAATAAAGTATCGGAAACTATGAAGTTAGCGGTGAACCTTCATTAAACACGAAATAGTTATTAGCAAAGTACTGAAAGTTCTGTGTGATTCTTTTGTAAAGGTACTGTTTTGAGTTTTTCAAATTTTAGATAATGGTAATGCTGGGTAAACTGGATGAAATTGATACAAATGCGGTGGCCTGTTATGTCACATCCTTACAAAATGAGGATGGAAGTTTTGGCGGTGATGAATACAATGAGATTGATACGCGCTTCTCATTCTGTGCATTGGCTACGCTCCATTTGATTGTAAGTCCAAGAAAGCATTTGAAAGTTTAGACATAATGACTAATTTGATTAATAAATGGCAGGTAAATAAGGGTTCGTTTAATAGCAATGAAACCCATTGAGTATCATGAGGTTATTTTATGTTTT